AGGGGGAACTGATCACAATGATCTATATATAACCCCCTACCTGGGGGACAGACAACAGAAAAGTGGGTGAAGGGAGACATCGGTCAGTGTAAGACATGACAAAATAATAATGATTTATAAATTATCAAGGGTTTGTGAGGGAGGGGAACAGTGAGGGAGGGAGGGAGCTGATACCAAGGGCTCAAGTAGAAAGAAAATGTTTTGAAAATTATGATGGCAACAAATGTACAAATGTGCTTGACACAATGGGTGGATGTATGGGTTGTGATAAGAGCCCCTAATAAAATAATTTTTAAAAAAGATATACAGATAAATCTATGAATCTGGAGACCAGACAAGAGTCCTAGACTAGACATAAATATTTCATAGCCATCAGAATACAGATATCACACATAAATCACACATAAAGAACATCATGGACCAAGGCCCGAGGAGCTTCAACACCTAGGGACAGCTGGAGTCCCCAGGGGGCGGAAGAGTGGCCCGTGAAGCCGGGGCGAGTAGGTGAAAGGTCAGGAGGGTGTGGTGCTGAGGGAATCACGGAGAAAGCAGATTCTGCGTCATCATCGATTCCTAAGCTTCAGTTTTTCCCTTCTCTCCAAAACAGAACCAGTAGGGACCTCCAGATAAAGCATGGCTGACATCTGGCAAATTCTCAGTACGTGGTGGCTCCTATTATCATCAGGAGCCCTGATGCAGTGGGCTACCTATTGAGTTGCTAACCAGAAAGAAGGCCAGTGGTTTGAACCCCCAGCTGTTCTGCAGGAGAGTCACGAGGCTGTCTGCTCCCATTGGATTTAAAGTCTCAGGAACCCAAAGGGGCCGTGTGCCTCTGTACTATGGGGTTGCTATGAGTTGGGATTGACTGGATGGCCGTGAGTTTGACTTTTGGAGTATTTTGTCAGGCGTCCCACTGGGTAATGGCTATGCATTTGGCAGCTAACAGAAAGGTTTGTTATGGGAAAAACGATCTACAGTAATGATAAGTTCCTGTAAAGACCACTCTTGTTAGGTGCCATGAACTCAGTTCCAACTCGTACAACTGAAGGAAACACTGCTCAGCCCGGTGTCCTCCTCACAACCACTGCTATATTTGAGTGCATCCTAGCCACGGGGTCAGTCCATCACACTGACCAGTCTTTATCATTCCTGACGCCCTCCTGAGAACTGCCCGAGTGTGTGAGATGAAGCCTCACCCTTTGCCTTTCCAAGGAGCCTTCAGCGGTGCTTAATCTAAGCCAGACTTGTTCATTCTTCTGGCAGTCCAAGGTATAGTTAGCATTCTTGGCCAACACCATCATTCAAATATATCTCTTTTTTTTGCTTTTGCTGCTTCATTGTACAGCTTTGGCATGAAGAGGCGGGCGACTAGGCCAGGTGGACCTTAGCTCTCAGAGGGATGCCTTTTGCTTTGGCATGCTGTCAAGAGGTCTTGTGCAGCAGAGTTGCCCAATGCAATGTGCTGTTTTAGTTCTTGACTGTTAGTTCCATTGCCATTGATTGTGGATTTAAGGAAAATGAAATCCCTGGCAGCGTCAATATGTTCTCTTATTTATCATCATGGTGGTTGGTCCAGTTGTGAGGATTGTTGTTTTTGTTTTTATATTGAGGTGTAATCCATACCGCAGTCTTCGATCTTCATCAGTTAAGTGCTTCAAGTCCTTTTCCCCGTAAAGATTACAGCCGAGGAAACACTGCAGATCCTTCTACTCGGTCTTACAGGGTCACCGTGCCTTAGAATCAGCACACAACCATAGTGTTGTTATTGGCGTCTTGGGTGATGCAAATGGTTAATACTTTCACTGCTCACCAAAAAGTTAGAGGCTTGCGTCCACCCAGAGGTGCTTTGGGAAACAAGCTTTTGTGATCTACTTTTTAAAAACCACCCATTTATATGGACACATGTGATTGATACCATTGATGTATGGATTGTTATAAGAGCTGTAAGAGCCCACAATAAAGTGATTTATAAAAAACAAACAAATAAAACCACCCACTGAAAGTCCTGTGGGAGGAGAGCTCTACTCTGGTAAACATGGGGTCAGCATGAGGGGTAACCACTGCAGGGCACTAAGTAGTATCATCCCCTATGTGGCAGCTGGCTGGTGTGTATGTGCAGGTGGAGAGCTGGGGGGTGGGAGGTGGTGCAGCTTGTGTCCCCATAAATGTACCCACTAGTGAGGCGTCCCTGCTCCCTCAGGCACTCAAGAACACAGCAGGGTAAACAACCAAACCTTCAAGGAGTCATTCTGGAGATCTTTGACTCAGAGCGACCCTGCAGGGGATCGAATGACACTCACAGGGGTCGCCTAAGACCATCATAAAACACATATTTCTGATGGTCTTAGAAACGGAGACAAGGCTCCTCTATCCATCTCCAGGTGGGTCCGCCCACATGCAGCTATGCCCACCCACGAGTACCAGGCATGATGACATCATCGCACCAACCCCATCACATACACCCCGTACAAATTCAGGTGTATGTGACAGGGTTGCGCCAGAATGTACTTAGGCAGACCAGTCACACGTGTACAGAGCAGCTACCGTTCTGTCTTAGACTGTGTTGTGCCTTCTTCTTCCATTTCTAACAACATATCTTTGTGAAACAGGGTTTTCCAGCTTGTTGGTTATCAAGTCTAAATACAGAAGTAGACTTGTTGTGGAAGATGCTCTTCGTTAGGCTCTTGCAAAGACTGCCCTGAGAATATCTGATCTGGTGAGAAAGAAGCTATCTCAACCTTCGGTTGGCTTTTTACACATACTGTTACAAAATGTAGCAATGTAATTTACTGTTGTTATCTTAAGACTGTTACCCATGCTACACCATGCTTCAAGACAAAATTTCTTTTATTTGCCATTAGAAATAAATATTTCACAAGATACGACATATTGTTTTTGTGATTCATCACGATGCTTTAATGATGTTCAATCTGTAACAATGAAAATACATCCTGCATATCAAATGTTTACATGATGATTCCTAACAGTAGCAAAATGACAGTGATGAAGTAGCAACGAAAAGAATGTTATGGTTGGGGGGTCACCACAACATGAGGAACTGTATGAAAGGGTCGGGGCCTTAGGAAGGTTGACACCCACTGCCCTAGGGCTTTCGAGTCTGTAAACCTTTATGGAAAGAGATAGATCTCATCTTTCTGGCTCTGAGCATCTGAAGTGGACCGGCCAGCCCGCACTCACCCTTTCGCCCCACCAGACTCACTGCTCTCCTTTGGACTGTGGCTCAGAGTGACCCTGTAGACAGGGTTGAACTGTCCTGGAGGCTTTCCCAGACTAACTCTTCACAGGACTAGAAAGGCTTGTTTTTCTCCCTCTGAGTCGCTGGTGTTTTTGAATTGCGCCCAATGTGTAACCTCTACAGCCCCCAGGGCTCAGTACCCGTGTTAGAATTACTATCTAGTGAGATAAGGAGGCTGAGTTCTGACGTGGCCACTTTCTCTATCAGTTTTTCCATTGTAAGGGGCCCTGGTGGCGTAGTCTGGTAAAGCCTGCTAACCCCAAAGTCAGTGGTTCCAACTCCCCAGAAGTGGAAACCGCCACCGAGAGTCACCATGACTCAGAATCTATTCCAAGGCGTTGGGTTTGGTTTTGGGGTTCTCTTGTTTCAAGCTGGCCTCTCACCAATTGTGCAGTCTCAAGAATTTTGTATTTGTTTTTTAAAACCTCTCTTAGTATTTATTCAGGCGCCCTAGTAGCATAGTGGTTATTTGTCGAGGCTTCAGGTCAGCAATTCGTAACTACCAACCACTCTTCGGGAGAAAGATGGGGAGCTCTACTCCTGGGAAGTCTTGGAAACCCAGAGGGGCAGCTCTACCCTGTCCTGTAAGCATTGTTATGAGTCAGCATTGACTCGATGCCAGTGAGTGGTTAGTGAGCATTTAATAATCTGTAAAACGGGGACAATTCTTTTTTAACAGAGTGCTGAAAAATCAGAATTGAGAGAGAGAGAGAGCACGAGCGAGCAGCTATAAAGCCAGACACGGATAAAGTAAACGGCCCGGCTACTAGAACTTTTGTGGGTCTGCGTGGGAATTTCTGTAGCTTCTTGCCAACGTTTCACTCATTCGAAAGGGGTGGTTCGGGCAGAAGAGAGCTGAGTGGGCCCCGAGACCCCTTACCCTCACTCTACCGGAGAGAGAGGGCCTTCTTGCAGGGCCCTGCGTGGGAAGGGGTAACCGGGCTATGGAAGGAGCTTCGGAGCAGTTCCAGGGCATCCACCTCTGGGGAAGGGGGGCTTCCCCTCCCCACTCCTTACCCCCCCACCCCCAACAGATCTTCGAAGCCCGTTTCCTCGGCAACCTTTCTATGTCCCTCTTCCCCCCCGAGAAGCCCTACCGAGGCCCACCCGCTGGCAGCCGCGGTCCCCAACCCCTCCAGCC